TGACCGTGACCGCGACCGCGACCGCGGGCCGGCGCCTTCCCAGGTGTTAGCCGCGCGCGTGAGTGCCGGGCCGCGGGGAGCGCGCGGGCGCGGTGCGGGGGCTGCGGGTGGGGCTGTGAGCGTTGGTCCCGGGAGATCGCCTCCTGCCCGGCTTTCCCACCAGGGGCTGTGTCCCGAGTCTGTGGGTACAGACCGAGTCCCGAGCGCGCAGGAGGGGAGAGGGAGCCCAGGAGCGCCCGCCAGAGAAGAGGGGAGGGGGACCCCTGGAAGGAGGCAGCCTGGAAAGGAGCCGGGAGAGTGTGGAACAGCTTCACGCGGGGAAGCAGGACAGATGCTTGGCGTCCCGGTGCAGTGGGACCTGCCTCCCCAGCGTGTGTAGGGACGGTCTGGCGGGCTCAGCTCCGCGGTTACATGAGTGACTTCGTGCTCTGCCTCTGAGCACAGCGACCCTGAGATCCGAGCCCTGGAACTGCTGAGTGGAGACAGCCCGTTGGGATGCCAGTGGCTTGAAAGGTCCGTGGGTGTTGGAGGTACATTTGGTAGAAAATAGAAAACTGTTCAACTGAGATGACTAGGTTTTAATCGTCCCTCCCAGTTTCATTTGAATAGGAAATGCATACTGAAAATTCACACTGCTCTTTTGGAAAACGATGTGTTGGTGCAACAGATTGTGTGTGTGGTAGTGTGTGTTAAGGGCCGGTTGGTAAAACTCTTGCCTTTCTCCAATTGTGTAGAGTTGATATTGGATAGATAAGACCGTGAGCATGGAAGTTACTACAAGGTGGAAGAAAAGTGTGTTAATATTAGTGCTTTAAAAGGGATTAGCCAATATATTGCTTTGTTTTTTCACATCCAGGACATAGAGTTTTTTTTTCAGTACTTTGGATGATTTGCTAAAGAGTTATTGAGCTCCCTTGTGTAATTTTTCTGTGGATAGTTTAATGATTAACTTCAAAGAGTTAACCAATTTATTACAATACTGATTACAAATAATACAGAAGAAATGAAAACCAAACAGAAAAATAGAAGATTGCAACCTAACTTATTTGCAAACGAAAAAGTTAGGTTGCAAATCTAGCAAACAATTAAAATGCCTCTCATGTTGCCAAGTTTCGTTGTCTTCGCTAATAGTGTTCCTATAAATAATTCCATTTTCAGATTCATAGTAACAAATGTTTATTGGTCATCTTTGTTCCTGAACCTGGGCATTCAGCAAGAGCGCCACCCCCACCCTCAGGCAGCATAGTCTTTTGCATCAAGATAGTATTAAAACACACTTACACCCCAAATCTATTTCTGCATTTATTTATTAAGCATCCATGAAGCAGTTGAGGTGAGCACACGTATTACAGATAGAAAATAAAATACAGCTGGGAGTTACTGTGGGGAGCACATTAGAGTGGACGTGAACAGATTGAAAGATCCTATGCAAACTAAGTTGCATCCGGAGGCCATGGGTCACACAGGTCAATGAGGGTGAAGGGGAAACATACCAGGTCCTTAGGGAAGCATTCCCTGGCACTTATTCTGAGGGAATGTTTTGCGTCACAGAAGGATGTGGAGGAGGTGGAACCATGGCAGTGGGAAAGTATCGTGCGTGCCCATCTGATAGTGCAAGTAATGGTGCGTTTTCTAGGACTGCTTGCTGTTTTCTTCATGTGTTATGAAAAACACCTGTTGGATGCTAAGACCCTGGGCTCACACATGGTGCTGTTGAATGGTTTGGCTTCCTTGGGGATAAATCTAGATTTTCTAAGGGGATAGGTGGATCTCATGTGCTTCAAATACTCGGTATTTCTCTCTGTCACGGATTTTTGATAGAAGTTTGGCAACAGTTGAAAGATATATCAAGTGGGGAGGTTTATCCTGTGTTTTCTTACTGGGGTCGGCTTGAGAACGTTTAGTAAAAATGAATGAACCTGAATGGCCATCCTCTCTATAGGATCTACAGAAAATTAAAGTGTATCCTTTAAGAAATCAGTTCTCAGTTTACTCCTGGATATGACCCAATAATTGATAAAAGTGTCTGGATGACTTTGGCCTTCTAGTTTTTTTTTTTTTTTTATTACTAACAGCTTTATGAGATAGCTTTCACAGATGATACAAAACACCTATGTAAAGTACACAATTTGTGAAGCCATCACATTTTATCATCTTCCCCTTTAAAAATCCATTAGCAAGTAACTCCTTCTCTTCGTTGTTTCACCCCATTGTTTTTTGAAGCAGGTATTCTATTTCACGGGGAGGCTGTTAGAAAGTGGACATATAATCTTAGAGTCACCCGGAGCTCCAGTGGCGCAATCGGTTAGCGCGCGGTACTTATAATCTTAGAGTCACAAAGTTGGCTTATTTATAGAGATAAATGAAATATTCAGAGAGCTGTAACACTGAAAGTTAGTAGTTTAAACTAGGTGTGGATATGTGTGTGTAAAGCAAAATTGCTGCTCCTGTCTTGATTTCAATAAAGAAGTTATGTTTTAGTGAGAAGGTAGGATAAAATCTTAGCAAAGTAGAAACCCCTTTGAACAAGGTTTCTTACACTTTTCTCATGTGGGTGAGGAATAAACTTTTCTTTACCTTCAAGGTTCTTTTAGTTGGTCTAATAACCAAATGAACATGAGACAGGTAAGCAAGAGAAAATAACCAAATTTAATACATCTGTGTGGGAACCTCATACACATGACAGAGTCAGAGACCTCACATGCAGGAGAGATTCAGAGACAGAAAGGTAACATCCTTCCTATATAATAAAAGGCTAATATGCAAATCAACCGAACAGTGGAATGACCGGTCACTATGATGCACACTGACCACCAGGGGGCATACACTCAATGCAGGAGCTGACCCCTGGTGGTCAGTGTGCTCCCACAGGTGGAGTGCTGCTGGGCTCACAACTGGCGAGTGCAGTAGTGGTGGTGTGAGCCTTTCCTGCCTCCACGGCAGTGCTAAGGATGTCCGACTACTGTCAGTCAGACATTCCCCAAGGGCTCCCGGACTATGAGAGGGTGCAGGCTGGGCCGAGGGACAACTCCTCAGTGCACAAATTTCATGCACCTGGCCTCTAGTGGGTGTATAAGACATTCTGAGCGAAATCCTTAGAGATAAGGTGCTTTGGGGGCTAAAGGGTCATTGTAGGAAGAACAGATGCTTAGTGAATTGAAGTTTGTCCTGCTCTATAGACAGGTCAAAAGAGGTTGTCTCTAATCATCTCTTATTAAGTATGGGCAAGGCCTCTAATTCAAAATACTTTTTAAAAAATTGATTGGTTGATTTGAGAGAGAGGAAGTGTATGTGAGAGTGAGAAACATTGATTTTTTTGTTACCACTTACTTATATATTCGTTGGTTGATTCTTATGTGTGCCCTGACTAGGAATGGAACCTGCGATCTTGGTGTATTGGGATGACACTCTAACCAATTGAGCAACCCAGCCAGGTCAAGTTCTTATAGGTAGGTAGTGGAGGGGTGGGAGTTTCTCTTCTGCCAGACACTAAAGTTGCCTTTAGCTCAAAACAATACAAGTACCACAGAGGCACACCTTGGGGTGACTTGGTCTGAACTTTCACATGATCATTAGCCCAATCCCTTTGGGCTAGGTCTTAGGCAGCTGTCATTTCACTAGCATTACATTCTTTGTCATCTGGAAGAGTAAAAGTGGAAATCTCTAGAAGGCCATAAGCCCTCTAATCTCCCTCTGAAGCCACTTGAGGTGAGTGTCTTATAAGGAAAGAGGAAAGTACTGAGTGGCACCCAAAGTTTGGACACTTCCCAGAGGTATGCCTCTCTGCTTCCTATCCTACACAGCCTGACCCTGACCTGACCCTGCCTTCTCTATGAGTATTCGTAATTGTGCCAGACTAGTAGGAGAGAGTGTTAAGTGTGCTGAGAACACTTAGTATTAATATCTAACCCGTCGCTGGGAATGGGAAAAGCATTCAATTATTATCCTATTGTTAATAAAATACTATTCAATCGATCTTATTACATAAGTGTGTAGCCAATGGAGTCATCACCCAGTAAAAGTCTAAAGACTTAGGATCTGGTCCTGCTAGGTCATAGTCTACTCAGTAAAATGGGATGACTCAGCACAAGATGTGAGGATCAAATGAGATCATATAGCTTAGTATTGTTTGGAAACTATAAGACAGTACTTCTATCTATCTTTTTCTATATATACAATATATTAAATAAATTATTTCAATATGCAATCAATGCACAATTATTAATGAGCTACTTTACCTTCTGTTTTTCATACTGTCTTCAAAATCTGGAATATATCCTACAGTTACTGCACATTTTCATTAGGCCTGTCTGCATCTCAAGTGCTTAACAGGCACATATGGTCATAGCTGCAGAGTTGGGTAGCACAGGTCTCTGGGCATTAACTGATACAGTGATAGAAGTTGGTTTGGACAATGCCTTTTTTATCCCAAAGATAATCTATTTATACATGTGCTTTTAATAACTTCTAACTTGTTTCTAATTCCTAGCTCTTCTTAATCAATGCGGAAAGAATAAAGTTTCAGGAAATTCAAGAATCTAGGAAATAATATTTGTCAATTATTTTAGTACAAACCTATGGTGGGCAAGGAGGTCTACAGAGCTGAGTCTTATTTCTGCAAAACTGCCATCTGACTTTGATTTAGGACCTTTCTGATTTTATTTCTCCTGTTTAATAACATGGGGAGTCAGTTACGTGTCTTTCCAGTATACCTCATATGATAGTTACCTCAAATAAAACAGGTGTACTTCAGACACCCATTAAGCAGTAGGCTAATTTTAGTTTAAAAATCGAATGGTATCATTTCAGCCACACTAAATCTAATAGTACTATTGTTATGCCAAACCACTCACCCACTTGCATCTTGAATCTAAGCTAGGAGTAGACTCCATTTGGCATGTGCAGTGTTGATTTATGCCCAGATGTAACTAGCAATGTAGGGTCAGTTGACCCACTCCAGTTGCCACTGTATAGGTCTCACTCCAGTTGCTACTGTGTAGGTCTGGCCTTGCTACTTAGCTGTTCTCTGCACCTACAAACCACTCCTGTCCTTCTTTC